GCCCCCCCCCCAAACAGCACAGGGAATGCCCCTCCTCCCCCATCACAGGGCCCCAGCCCCCCTGCCCAGGGCTCCAGGCACCCTGGAGGGCCCCAGCCCCCCCACCCAGGGCCTATAACTTACCTCTAGCAGCAGCAGCAGTAGTTGGGCGCTCTGAGCCATGGCAGCAGGACCCGGCACGGCACGCAGGGACCGTGTGCCGGACCCAGCCGGGTCCTTCCGGCCCTGGGGCCTCTCAGCCACCCTGCTCGGTGTGAGTGGCTTTTTCCACTCTTCTGTGGAGCGGTTTTTTTAGACCTGGATATCCAGTGGTCTAATTTTCTCCCCGCTCTGCAAGTTTGCAGCACGGGGAACATTTTTTCATTCCCGCATGTGCCTCTTGCCCTGCCTCAAAGGGGTTTGAGACGGGGCAAGAGGCACGTGCGCGCTCATCTGGAGGTGCCCAAAGAGATGCTGGCTGAAGAGGTGGATATAGAATACCAGAGTATAAGACTAGGTTGCGTAGTGCCTTCCAATTTTATACAGCAGCTTTTTATCATTGATTTAAATGTTGGGGCCTGTTTCTCTACATACAATTTCTCCTTCTCATATGCTTTGTCCAAAGCAAAGGAGTGAAATAAATATTATGCCCTTAATCAGGATTCTGTTGTTGTTTTCTAATTAATCAGTGTCAGTTGCTTGAACATTTGTGTTAAATCATTTTCTTCATGAAAGCTTTTAATGAGGAAACAAATTGATTGGATTCATACATACTGGATTCTTACCACTGACATCTGATAGACCCAACCCTTTATACTAAACATTTTGCCTATGAGTAGGTCATTCTGTGGCTTGCCCTCCAAAGCCAAGCTATTTGATGAAACCTCTTTGCTTTGAGTTGGGTCAAATGACTTCCCATGTTTCTGAAATTGCTGTTGATATTGTTCTCTTATTTGAAACAACCCCTGGCATTGTGCAAAGCATGGGTGAAAGAAGGTAAGATAAATGAGTCTGGTAGATGGTCTGGTACTTGAGGCACCTGGAACTCAGCTCTGCACTCTGCTGACTTGCAAATCTGCTTGCAAATCTACTTTCCTAATCCTTTTTTTCTTTTTCATCTTGCAAATTCAGATTGCAAACTCTAGAGATTTTTTCTTTGTGTTTGCACTGTATCTAGTGCAATGTGCCTGAATCTGGGGCCTCTGGGCACTATTCAAATACAAACAGTATGTGTGGAGTAACAAGGAAATATGTAGCAGAGGATATGCATCTTATCTGCTGCATTTTACATGAATGGAGGGGCTCGTGACTGGGGCTGCAGCTTTAATGCCTTCCCATATTGTCAAATGAAGGTATAGAACAAGAGTGGAGAAACGGGTGGAGAAAACCAGTATATAAGAGAGCCAAAGTGCTGGGTGTGTGGAGTTTAAGGAAACTAATTTTTGGATGGCTCTTGGAAAACCTTAGCTGTGTGAGGCTGAAGAAGAACAAACAGTAAGAACATAGTGAAAAAACTGTTATCCAGTTTTTGTGTGAGATCTGCATGCACATGAGCTGCAGGCACATGGAGAGATTTGGTCTTTTACTAAAGGTTAAGCCCCACACTGTAGGCAAGGCTTTATGGGATAAACAGCTTATATACAGAATAGAGAAGAAACTTTCTCCAACATAGGCACAGCTTCTGTCCTGTGAGTTTATTCATCTAGTTTTCTTAGTAGTCTTCATATACTTCAGGTTTGTTCTGTTTTATTTTTTCATGTGACTGCAGTCATTGCAAGGAAGGTGCAAGATGGGGATTGTGGGACTGATGTGAGAAATTGTACAAACCTCTTGCTTTTGACGAAGACATTTCTATTATGAAAAAGTTGGGCAACCCCTGGAATTGAAACTGTGGGGTGGGGAGAGATACTTTATTGCTGCTAAATCTTTATGCAGTAGAGAATCTCAAGACGGCCAATTAGCATCTGTAGGTCCTGTAGCTTCTCTTGAGGCTTCTGTTGTAAGAAGCACAGTTTGGACATTAACTGAATCCCTGGCAGCATGTCTGGCATAATTCTTCCATCTGTCAGTTGTTCATGAAAACGGAACAAATAATTGAGAGACTAATTTGTGTTTATACCCGTTATCTTTGTCTTTCAGGTACCACTTGGAATTTCTGCCCCGAGGTGAGTGCGTCTTGTTGACAATATTTTATTTATTGAGGGGGGAGTTGGGATTTGAAGGTTGGGAGGGAGAGGAGGTTTAAACAAGTACAAGCAAATGGAGGTAGTAGGAGCAAGGGTGGGAAAACTCTGGTAAGGATCTAGCAGATCCTTACCAGATCCTTGTTGGGGTCCAGCTTGTTTGGGACCAGATCCTTGTTGGGGTCCAGCTTGTTTGGGACCAGTCATGGTTCTTTTTTCCTTAGCTTTGGACAAGGGTTCCCAAAAGTGTGTGGTGCTCACCTAAATGCTTTATCCCTGCATTGGTGCGGTCTAAGAATGACTTCTGATAAGGTAATGTGGCCTCTGGAAATTGTTCAGTGTTACCTTTTAATTGGAGGCAGAGCAATCTAATGGTTAGGGAACTGGACTGGGAGCCATGAACTCAGGGTTCCATTCACAGTGCTGATGTATAACTTTGAGAAAATCACTTTGCTTTTTTGGGCCTCTGTTTTTTTTTGGTTTGTTTGTGGGGGGGGTTTCCCCCTCTCATCTTCTGAGTTGATTTAGTGCTTGTCACTACTTGGTGGTCTCTGCCTGGGTGATGTAGGTTGAGCACCAGGCTAACTACCCACTATCTCATGAAAAAGCATTTACCTATTAGGAAATCTACAATCCTGATTACTCTCATAAGGTAGATATGGTGGGGACAGAACTCGGCATGCCAGTTTTGTGCAATGGGTGCAAAGAGAATTGGGATTAAGCTAAATAGGAACAAAGCATTCTTATTTCTGGCATAAATGTGCTGTTACATAGAACTGTTCTTGTGCTTTTAAATTCACATCCTCCCTTCATTCAAATTAATTTGTTTGATTTATCTATATACAAATTATAAATTCTTTAGGACACCAGCTCTCTTTCTATGTACAGTAGTACAGTATGGGACCCTGACCATGGATTAGGGTTTCCCCTCATAGTGTCATAATGTAAATAATCTTAATTTGGGCAGGAGATGGGAGGAGTTCAAATTGGAAGCAACAGTACTGGTTACTTCATCACCAGGGGAATTGTGCCTGATATACCAATATAGTACCCTAACACAATGGAGTTCTCATCTCTGATCCAGGCTGTTTCCATCCTACAAGACTACAAATATATGTGGGGGGGCGGGCTTTTTATATGATTATTGTGATATGTGAATGCAAGCAGAAGGATTTGCCAACATTCAAAGAAGATGGGAGCTGAGGCCACTATAAAAATCCTGCGAGTGTTCCAACTCAGCTAATCCTTCATTTGCTTCAGAAATAAATTCCAGTATGTTACCTCCTCGATCAGGGCCCACTTCCAACACATCCTGTCTGTCTGGCAGCACAGAAATGTCAGAAATGCAGCAGTGCTACAATTCCCACTAGAACAGTGTTATCACATTTTAATATGAGCCGCAGTGCAGCCTTGGTGCTTCTAATTGCTTTCAAACCATTGTTTTCATGTGTTTGGTTGATGAACCCAGCATCTGGCATCATTCGAGAAAGTACAACAGACAGCTGTGTTCAAAATTAAAAAAAAGAGAGAGAGGATTAGAACACACAAAAGGACTCAAAATTAGATTTTTTTGAGAACTTTGTGTAATTTAAAGTGTTTGCATGGGGGGAGGTGCTGCTTTTATTCTTATCAACTATTCCATGTTCTTTTATTGTTTTGGAGGATGTCACTATATTAGTAGGACTTCGTTTGTAGAACCAGGGCCAATGAAGGGGCAGATATACAAATGTAGTTAGGTGCCTCGCTTTAGAAGTCTTATGTGGCTCCTGGGATTTATATTGTGGATCTCTAGGCACTTAAATATCTTTGTAAATCTGGCCCCTGGTTGTTTGGGGAACTGATACTAACCTGAGAAAATGCATTAAAGAGGCAGTAATGTCTAATTATTTAAACAAAAACAAAAATAGACTGGCTCTTGGATATGTTAATCCTTACTCCAAATTTTAATATGATCTTGGGGAAAATATCTTAATCTTTGTGGCTGCCAATACACATGCTGGTTCACCTTCTAATTGGAACGCTGCAGCAAGGCCTCATAGTCATGTATATAAGCCCCTGTGCGCACATCCACACATGCAGGCACGTGTGCTTGCAGCAGCTCATATAGGAGCAACACAAATGCAAAATAACCCTGCCCAGCTCCTCCTGGATCTGCAGTCAGGGGGAGCTAGAGCCTGGGGCCAGCACCTGTACTGGCCCAAGCAGTATAAAAACCTGCCCTGGCAAGTAGATCAGGTCTACTTGCTTTCAGGAGCTTCTGGGGCCTGGCCAATTGGTATCTGGGGACACTAGCCCCTTATGCCAGCTGGTCTGCTGCAGCAGCCCTAACTGAGAGTTCCCTGCACCCTCTACCCATTGCAGCAGTTTGGCAGTGGAGGCTGCTGCCTGGCTATGACCTGCTGCCACCTGCAACAGCATGTTGCTGCAAGGCTGTGCACCTGTCAGACCCGGATGGGGACTGCATGGTCACAGCAGAAGCATCTGCACCTCTGTGCCAGCTGCCAGCGGGCTGTGGCTGCGCAGTTGGCCTTTGGGCGGCACTACTGCTATGTGTACTGCTGCCTTGCCATCTGGGCAGCTATCTCCTGGAAGATGTTCTCAGTGTGGTGTGCTCCCAAGTGGCCAGGAGGTCAGCTACCTCCAGCTGGGTCCCAGCTGCCAGCCCTGAGCAGGCACCTCTGCCTGAGTTCTGCCCCTTGACTCACTAGCAAGAATTCTGGTGTTCCTTGTTTAAAAATTGCAAGATCTCTGATTAAAAAAAAAATTCCCAAATTCCTTTAAAAAAAAAATTCCCAAAATACCCTAAAATCTATGTTCTTCCACCATTAAAGCGAGACAGACAGTTGGGCAAAGTTTTATTGATATATTTACAATTCTAAAGCAACTTGGAAGACTACCAGTGTCTCTATCATCATAATAAAATACATTCTAAATATCTAAATGTTTTGATGTTTGCTTTTACTTCCCTCAGGGCACCAGCCCCCTTTCCCGCTCCCCCCCTGCAGGGCCCACAGCTCACTCCCGCAGCAGCAGCCATTGGGTGCTCAGGGCCCTCTGCGGCCAGAGCCCCCAGCAGTGCACCGCAGCCCTGGCCTCCTCAGACCTGACGTCACCCGTGCCGCTCGTCACGGGTCTGGCTCGACGCAATACGGGGTTGTGCACCTTCAGGCAACCCTGGGCCACTCGGGCTGTCACCCAGGGCCCTGCACTGTTCTCGGGGACTGGGTGTCACACCGGGCCATGTCCAGCCTCTGGTGGCAAGACACTGTCCTGCCAGACCCTTGGTGTGTGCATGGAGAAAGTGTGCAGTGGAACCTGGCCTGGCGCAGCATGCTAGTGCACCTTTGCATAGGAGCGGGAGGCACGACTCTGGGCCGCGCAGCTCCTGTGCAAAAACGCGCTAGCTGCATGGCCTGGGTGGTGTTGGGTTGGCGGGGTGCATTTTCCATGAGGCTCAGTCAGCGATGCACCACATCCTGTTGTAGGCATAGCGCTGTGGCCATGCGTCACTGACTCAGCTTCATGGAAAACACACCCCACCAGCCTGACCCAGCCCGGACCATGCAGCTAGTGCGCCTTTGCACAGGACTTGCGTGCCTCAGAGGCATGCTTCTGTGCAAAGGCGCGCTAGTAGGCTGGGCCGGGTCAGGTCCCGCCGCATGCCTTGTGGCGGGGCTTGAGTGGGGGCCACCGCATGCCTGCTGCCTCACCCACCCCCTATGGCACTGGCGGCAGTACCCAGTGCAGCTGTGGCCCTGGCTGCAGGCACAGCCAACAGCGACACGGTGCTGTGTGACCTGGGCTCTATACATGCTGAACAGACCTGGCCCATCCCATTAGCACATGGCTTTCCTGTTCCTGTCCAAAGCCATGCACTAGTGGGCCAGGCCTGGTCCATTCAGCATGTACAGAGACTGGGTCACACAGTGCCGCGTCACTGCTGGGTGTGCCTGCAGCTGGGGCATGGCTGTGCTGGCTGCTGCTGCTGGCACTGTGGGGGGTGGGTGGCAAGGCAGGAGTGTGGCAGCCCTCGCTCAAGCCCTCCACAAGCCCACCCACAGACCGCACATCCCCTCGCCCCTGCCATTCCCCATAACCCCAGCACTCCTCACACCCACCCATACCCATAACCACCCCCACGTCCTCACTTACCCATGACGGCACCCAGCACCCTGATCCTTGCCAAGCTTCTGTTTGCCCCAGCACGCTAAGGGTTTGTACCCCATGTGCTGGAGCAGCAGGAGCACTGTAGGGAGGCTCTGGCCAGAAACCAGAGTATCTTTCTGGAGGACTGGCTTCTGGGTTAACTGGGGGGCCATGCCCTGCCCCACTTGTTTCCCCTGTTTTATTTAGATACCTGGATATCCGAGTATCAAATTCTGGAATGTTTTATTGTTCACAGTGTGCCTCTTGCTGTATTTCAAACTGCTTTGAGCCAAAGCAAGAGGCACGTGCGGGCTTGTCTGGATGTGTCGTGTGAGTTTAAAAATGGCCACTGGAGCGCTTTATCTAAACCTCATCGAATGAGGTTTAGATAAAGCGTCCTGTGGCCATTTTTAAACCCATGGGGCCTTAATACACATGACAAAGAGGCGTTTTAATTAAAGCGAATACCAGGAACCACTCTAATTAAAGCACTCCCCCCACCCCTGACGTTAATTATTCTACCTTGGAGTTGGGAGCCTTTTATAATGTTTGTAAAAATGCTTCAGAGTCCTTGGCTGGAAACCTCTATGGAAGGTATGAATATGTCTCTTTAAGGTGCAGTGGGTTCTAGTGATTAGAGCAAGGGACTGGAAATCAGGAGGGTTTTATTCTCATTTCTACTCCATGCATACTGTGTGACCTCTGAGAGGTGCTTACCCTTCTGTCTCAGTTTGTCTAGCTGCAGAATGGGAATAATTACTTTTTTTTTAAAGTCTCACAATGTGGCATTGGATATTTGAGTAAAATATTTCAGAAGCAATGGGATGATCCAATTG